TAAGTACTTTTTTTGTTTGAAAACAGCCTCAATGGTTTTACAAAGAGAACACAGACCCATAGATTATCATCCCAGGATCCCAGGATGGTTGAGGTTGGAAGGCACCTCTAGAGATCACCTAGTCCAACCCCCCTGCTCCAGCAGGGACACCTAGAGCACATGGCACAGGGTGGCATCCAGGCGGGTTTGGAAGATCTCCAGAGAAGGAGACTCCACAACCTCTCTAGGCAGCCTATTCCAGGGCTCTGTCACCCTCAGAGGAAAGAAGTTCTTCCTCACATGGAGATGGAACTAACTGTGTTTTATTTTGTACCCATTACCCCTTGTCCTGTCATTGGCCACCACTGAGAAGAGTTTGACCCCATCCTCCCTACATTCTCCCCTCAGGTATTTTATACATGTTGATCAGATCCCCTCTCAATCTTCTCTTCTCCATACTAAACAGGCCCAGCTCCCTTAGTCTTTCCTCATACTCAATGCAATGCATACTCAATACAATATCATGGACATATATATACATGTATCATAGGAGCTGGAAATGATATATCTTTTTAAAGTGTATGTCAACACCCTGTGGAAGACAAGAAGCTTGAGAGGAGAGGTGACTCTATCACACCTTGCAGTCTACCTGTTTTCAATGACCCTCATGCTTTAATTCAGTTGTACTTAGTGCACAATACCCCTGCTGGGGTGAGAGACAGGCATGAGTGTGAGACCCTCAGCTTGTTATCCCTTGTTGGGGTGCACCTGAAAAATCTCCTAAGAATAGACACTGTGACTTCTGGTATGTCTCCTGGCAGACTGCAACTCTATTGCTTGGGTCCAGCCCATCCTTCCAGATTGCATATCTCAGTCTAAGGTCCTATTTCAGCTTGAGCAATCATGTGACTGCATGGACATGTGACAGTAAGTGAGTCATGTCTTAAGGATCAAATCTGCCCCTGATTTTGCAGAGGAAGTTTTGATGTTTTCAGTACATCATTAACCCCTCAGAATAGGGGTTCCTTTAAAGAAGAGGAGGGTCTGCCTTTAGCTTCTGCATGCCATTAGGCTCTGTAATCTCAATCACCTGAGCTGATGCAAAGAAAGCATCAACCCTCAACAGGTACGGGCAGGGTATAGAACAGCCAGACTAACTCTTTTAGTGGCAGTCTGTGAAAGACCAGAAAAGACTTAACCCATAACATTATTTCTGTTGCTATCTTCAGGACAACACGAGTTTAAGCATTGAAAGAGTGTGAGCACATTGTGTGAAGGGGCACTTTTAGACAGTTTTGTTTTCTTGGAACACACAGTCAGTGTTACAGATATTTTGGTCCCCAAGAAGCAACAAATACATATTCCTTTTTATATGCAGAGGAAGATATGATTTAAAGGTTGGGAGAATCCTGACTTCTCTGTTCAGAGCTTTTAACAACAGCAGGTTCCCCATCACACAGTATTGCAGAACTTGCTAATAAGGGATAAGCACATTCCTAGACAATTATTTTCTAATGAAATTGTTGTTGAGAGCTACATTGTCATTACTGGTTCTCCACATGAGTGCTCCTCTGAGGTGTGCACTGGGGTGTTACCCCTTCAGAATCAGTTCTTTAGATGTGAACACATGTCCCCTGCAGCTCTGTCCATTATGTTCGCATCCCCAGGGTCTCTTTTTCCCTACTAATGAAGTAATTGAGGTAGGCATCTGCAACAGAGTCAGAAGCCAGCTTATGTATTGGAAAAGTAATTAACTTGCACTAATGAAGTCCCAGTTGAAATTTACCTCGTCAGCTGAATGAAAGAAAAATCTAACCATACTATCTAGAGGAATATCAATAGTTAAGAGTTTATTGGTCCTACCGATGTTCAGAAAATAATAATAAAAAAAGTGTAATTAATGTTCTTTGGTTTTAATAAGCCTCTTCCTCTCTTGATGTTTGTGTTGAAATAAATACCACAATAAAATCCATATTCACAGGTTCACATTGATTGGAAACCCAATAGTGAAACAGTGTTGCCTGTGAAATATTTTACCATAACAAGGTTGCACTAAAACAGAAGGAGGATTTGGAGGCCAAAAGTCCCCTCCACTCATTGGAACTTCCCAGCCTGACCCCCTCAAATCCCTGAGTCCTGCTGGTCTGCTTTATTTAGACAGCCTGGCTGCAGTACTTCACTGCTCAGCTATTCTCTGCTAGAGCAGTGGTGAGAGCATTCTCCAAAGAGGAGGTGGGATTCAGTTTGCTTCTCAGTCCTAGGAGTGGGATGACCAAACTCAAATTTCCAATGTCCCAGTAGAGTGGGCTTCTGGGGCCAGGAACGATGGGATCCAAAGGGCATCATTAGCTGGGGAACAGATCACTCACTTGAGAAGACATCCTGGAGTCTGGTCTCTTTGCTATGAATCCTCTCAGGCTGAACAAATCCAGCTGTCTTTATTCCTGAGTCCTAATTTCTTTAGTATAATGCCCCGAAATTGGGAAGTACTTCTTCCCCAAATACGTCTTATACTTTGTGATTTCAATAAAAAATGGGTGGTCCTGTTCAGTCATTTGAAAGAAGAGCTGCTGGGGTTCCCAGCATGGGGCCCTGAGGGCACTGCACGACCCACCCACAGACCCACCTCTGCACATAAGTCAAACTCAGTGTTTCCCACGGTCTCTTTTGAGGTGTCTGGCTTTCACCAGAAGCCCAAACCTACTGCTCTGAAGAAAAGGAAGGGAACGGATGTCTAAGGATTACATTTTGCAGCTCCTAGGGTGTTGGAAACTTTCCTTTTAGGGAGGTGGGTTAGATTTAGAACCCGGCTCGTAACATCATACCTCGGGGAAGGCAGGACACGCCATCATTCGCTAAAGTGTAATCATCTGCGCAGAAGCACACTCGTTTGCCAGCCAGCCCATCAGTACAGTACTGCTCACAACCACCGTTGTTGTAAATGCACTTCAGTTGGTCAGCTATAGCTAAATCCGGAGAAAGAGCCTTTATGTTTCTGAAATTTTGGTGCTTAACACAAGTCAATTATAGCTTACAATGCTGGCAAGGAAGCATGGCAGTAAATCAGATTGTCTGTGTACAGTGACTGGGTTAAAGGCTAATTCTGTTTGGCAGAAAGTTGTATAGAAATGGATCATCAGGTGTTAAGGAGAAAAAGACTGTACTTAAGAAATACGCACCTAAAAATAAATCTGCATATAAAAATAAGTCTGCATATAATGCCGTACCGGAGCTACAGCAGTAGCCTAGTATGCTTCCCAAAGAATAGGAGTGTAGTAATTGTATGGTAACCATCATAATCTTTAACTGTGGAAAATACATATATCTATTTTGTATTTGGTACAAGAATGCTCTGGGAATATAACTGAAAAAAATCACGTGATAAGAGAACTTCTTTTCTGTGAAAAAGCAATCCTCCTTCTCTCTCAGACAGTTCACAAAAGTCATTTGTTTTACCAGATCCCCACAGAGTAGTAATTATTTTACTATGCAGTGCAAAACCTGCACTAACTGCATTGACCTGATTGTCAGCTGTTTACATCTACCATAAAACACTGGTAGTGTTTTATGAGAGTGGTAATAGTAGTTGCCATTGCTGGAATGATGCACAGTAATAATGCTACTGCTACTGCTTATCCCAGTGACTTGCATTTGAATGAATGATGACATTTTTACTTTGTTAAGCTTTGCCATATCTAACCTTTTTCACAGTTTTTGCCCTCATATTTCTCGGGACAGCGGCAAACATAATCCTGAAATTGATCATCACAACTCCCACCGTTCTGACAGGGATTGGAGGCACACTGGTTAGGGTCTGTAAAACATTCAGCATTAATCCAGGTCGCATGAAGAATTGCAGCAGTGGGAGCGTTTTTGTAAGATGTGGAATTCTCATACCAGAATAGACGTGCCAGAATTCTGCCTGGGAAAAAAAAAAGATACAAAATTTAATTAAACAAAAAAAGAAAATCAGATTAAATGCTACACCCTTGTCATAGAGGGTGTATTACCGGCAGCCACAGAGATGCCCCTATTAAGCAGGATGTCCATAAAATATTCTACCTAATTTTCATGTATGAAGAGAGATGGGCGCTTTGTAACATACACAAATGGATTCCCATCAATAACTTCCCTATGGTTTGTGTGAGTTTGACTGGTTAGGTCTGTCTGGAAAACAAACACATTGCATCATAAAGTGTCTAAGATATTGTTGGCTCTGGAATTATTGTGGGGGGTGGGGGCAATGAGATGACTTAGAGAAAAATCTCCTTTCCAACCATCCCTCAAACTGGTACTGCCTCATGGGGTCCATGCAGTGTGCCTTCCACCAGCCCACAGTGCTGCGGTGGGCTCTTCTGGATATTTGAGGGAGAGATCCAAACAGAAGGCCACAAAGTGCATTTCGGCTTTCATGTTTTCAAGTGCCAAAGTACACTTCTAAGTACATCCTTGAAAAATGGGGAATTGTGAAGTAAAGTCCATCAGACTGCGAGCACTCACCCAGCACTGCGCTACTTACTGTCCTTTCATTGTCGTGGTAAATTTCTCTTGCTTCCTCAAAAGAACAGTTTTCTTCCATGCATTCGCGCTCTAGGGACCCCAGTTTTATCTCTTCGAAGAAGCTATTGGCTCTTCTTTGCCTTTGCAGAACACTGGTTGCATCTTCTGGCTTTAAAAAGACTGAAAAACAGTCTGTTTGCCAGATATCTTCACTTGCCAGAAAGAAAGGATAGCATGAAAGGTTTCTTCTGACAGCTTCTCTGATATCCAGGCTTTTTAGGAGAAGTTGTAGAATTAGACACATTGAACAGATTTCCACTACCTGTCATTCACCACCTCCTTTTGTTGACAAGGTGGCAATGACAGGTAAAGTGACAGCACATGGATTTTACAGAGCCAGAAATAAAGGGAAGTGTTATCATCTGCAATACACCAAGTACTGTCATACTTTATATGGCAGGTCTAAACATAGACAGATAGATAGAATTTCTTTCAATGCCAGCAGCTGAACAGCACTTCATGAAGTGCTGACCTATGTGGCGACAGCTGATTTTCCTGTACTCAATACAATCATTTGGCCCCAGGTGGACCAAAGGCACCCCAAAATCTCCAGTGCTCCATTTGTCACTGGTTTTTATCTCAAACCCTTCACTCCTTGGACCTGCAGAAGGAATTTATGAGACCATTAGCAGACTACAGGTTATTTTTATTTTTCTTCTGAAAAATATGTACATCATAGTACATATTTTTCACACATCTCTGATATGTACATCACAGTACATATGAGGGCTGGACAATGCCCTTTGCATTGCCTAATGGAGCCTGCATATGGCTCCTAACTTCTGCTAGCACCATAGACCACAGCTATGGGGATCTTACCCCTGTGAGTCTCTGCCATGCTTCAAACAGACATTGGGAACACAAATTGGGTGGCAAATGTCATCTGAGGTCACTTCACAGAGTTATTCAAGCTTCCAACAAATGTAAATGTCTATTTAAAGACTTAATAGCCTTATGTCATCATGCTGACCTCTTCCTAAGCTCCCTGATGATATCATCAGCTATACCCTCCTGATAAAATGCAGAATAATAAGCTGTGAGTCTCGGTGCTGTGGTGTATTTTTGCCCCATACACTACACTGTGTGAGAAGTGATTAATTTTTGCAGTGTGTTCCTCCATGTCACTAGGCAATTCTGAAGCTTTGTGATGGAAGTTTAAATCTCAGCACTTCTAACTTCCACTTGGGACTGTGGGTAGATTTGGAGAGTAAGGTTGATGTATATCCCTTGCCTTTCCTCCAGGACCTTCTCCACTATGTGACTCCTGAAAAAGAAACGGTTGCCTACTACTTGCCTGAAAGGCTCTGAGGTAGTTTCTGAAGGACAAAACAGAAAAACTGTGGGTGTTTGTGGAGACTCATATCTGTCATCACATAAATACCCACAAAAAATAAAAACAGCAGAAAGATTTTAATTTGGTCTAATGAGTTCTTTGTCTCTAGTCATTTATCTCTGATCATAACATTTGCTGAATTGCATGCAAAACAGCAGTAATTTTCCCTGCATTTTGAAGTTATTTGAAGAAATATAGTATTGTGTGGTGCATCTAATTTGTCACAGGATGCTTCATAAGACTTTTTCTATTGTAAGAATGTCATCGGGTTTTTTTTTTTTCTTTTGGTCAGGTTGTATGCTTTTAATATAGCTCTCTTTAAAGGCTTGTAATTGTAATGTATCGCAAGTATATTACATAGGCACCAGTGCGCATGCACCAGCCCTGACAGGATTTGCATACGTGCTTGGCTTGTGACACCTCCCACCTCTACTTCTCTGTTCTCCACTCATTTAGACTGGAATATTATAGACTTTGTTGTGAGTTTTCAGGGTTTTTTTTCCCAGCTTTGCCCCAGTCAATGACTAACTGAGAGTCTAAAAGCCCTTGGTCCCCTCTGTTAATCTGGGAGGTGATTTTTCAGACATGTACTGAGGCTACCAAAAAGCTAACACCCCACTTCAGTCTACTGCTGTGGAAGCACAGTGGGTCCTTTAGTTTGTCATGAGCTTCTCTGCTTTGAAAAATGCCACAGGTGAACATGAAATAACAATAAATCAAAATTCCTCTTTCATCTAGTGGGTAGGCAGCTGATAGTTTACCTGCTGTCTATGCAGTGAGATAACAGATTCACATGGGAATGTAGAAGAGATTTTCCCTGGTTGTCAAAACAAGCACATGAACGGCATCACTGAAAGCAAACAGGAGCCTTTAGCTTACAGACACAACGAGAGGCAGGACAGCCATTTATGTATACTCTTGACTGAAGTTGACTCAAAACTCACAGTAAGAATTGTGCCTGAGTAGCAGAAGAGAGGTCCACTGCCAATAACCATAATTAGAGCCGTAACCTATCACATACCTGCATCCAGAGAAGGAGGAATCAGGAGCGGAAAGCAGAGAAACAAAGTCACGCACTGCCTGGAAACCATGATGACCCCCGCAAGCGTCCCAGTAGCGTATTGACATTTCAGCAAAGACTGTTTGTTCAAAGAGTTGAGCTCCAGATGCTTCGCACTAGAGGAGGGGCCGGCAAGTCATTACAACAGGAAAAGATTCACTGTGGCAATGACAGCTGAGAGAAGTGTGTGTGCAAGCCCTGCAATGAGTCCGTTCCACATAAGCCAAGAGCTTGAGTTTGAAGCACTCCTGCCCTTCCTGCCCTGTGCAAAGGTAATGCCGATTGCAAAGTCTTCTGTCACGGGTCTTTATTTACCATCTAACATGTTATTTGATGAGCAATATAAATGTCAAGGATCCAGCATCTCTCTGAATGGTATTAACCTGGTTACACAACCATGCAAGCAGAGAGCAGAGAAATGACAGTAAGATTTAGCTTGACTCAGCAATGAATGTAGAGCTTTGCATTGCTTTGGAGAGTGATCAATCTGCTGATATCTGTCTCTTCCCATATCTCAGTCACCAGCTGAAACTCTGAACTACTGCCTGAATTTCCCTGGAGACAGTAATTAACTAGCAAGAAATACCCTGCACTGCTTTGCTATGCTTTTGCTGTAGGACCTATGCACAAGTTCTACCAGCTAGAAGAGATGCTAAAGCAATCCGCACTGTGCTCCCTTAATTGTGATAGGGGTCTGAGGGGCCAATCTGCAGACAATGTTTGATCGGAAAACTAAGCTGATTTAATAGATCCTCTGATTAAGTAGAAATCAGTTAATGGTGCCAGACTAGAGAGCTGAAAACACTCTTAGGAAAATATTTACTTAAGATAGCAGAGAGGTAAAGAGCATGTTTGCCTTTGAGAAGTGAGGCATTCCCAAAGGACTGGAGCGTTTTCCAGGCAGTTCTCCCCTTTGTAAGCATGAAGGTGGGGGGTGAGAGGGAGGATCATTTCTGCACGTGAACACTAGAGCAAAGAAAAGCAACAGCTGCTTTTTTACTTTGTGGCCATTGCTCAGCTAAACTTCCTGCAGAAGCAATGATTGATTAGGAAGGCCAGGATTGCAGCTGATCTTTGCAGACGGCTTCAAAATCCATTTCCCAAAGGAGGCATTCGGGCGCTTCTCTGAATCCCAGCTGGCTCATTCCCAGCAGCTCAGTTCCTGGGATTTCAGCCACGAGCAGCAGCTCCAGTCCCAGGGCAGAGGAAGGAAGCCAGTTACGGGTTATAAAAAAGGAGCTGGAGTAGCCCCTAGCTGTCTCCACCTCTCCGTTTTGGGAATAGCCTCTGTACCTCATAGCCTGCACACGGTGCTTGTTCCTCTCCACATCCAGCTTCAGTCTCTGTGTGGTCACAGGAGAGGAAAACACTGAAGGAAGGAAAAAAGGCTGAGACCTTGCAGGGAAGCAGGCAGGGAAGAGCTTTGTGTCCAGGCAAGGAAGAGAGGAGAAATGACACTGGAGATGTGCCTGCACTGGGACAGAAGGAAAAACTGAAGATACCTTCACTTGAAAAACTGAAGTTATATTCCCTTACCTGCAACAACTAATTTGAAATTGTAAGGACATATTCATCTTACAAATATCTAAGCTATGTTTGTTGGAGCTGCTAGAGGATTTCTCTTTTTGTCTGATCTTTTGCGGGGAAAGCTCTCTCTTCTGCCTATTTGAATGAGTCCCTATCTACCATCTAGCAAATCAGAGCACAAGGCCATGCTTCTCGTGCTTGGGACAGCCTGAGTTTATACCTACTACCTCTCCTTGCAGCATTTTTCTTAAGCTGCTCTTTTAACTAGCCCTGCAAGAAATGATGGCACACACAGAAAAAAGCTTCAAATTTAGACGTTATCATTGAGAATCACCTGGAACACTTTTTCAATACCGCTTTTAGATCAGTGGCTAAATCTTCATACAAGACTTCCCAAAAGGGCATATCTAGGTGGATATCTCCCAGTGCACTGCCAGAGAGCTTGGGGTAGTGCCTACTCCACAACAGCACTAACACTCTACATGTTGGCATCACGTCCTTGGTGTGTCTGCTCTCTGCAAAGTTCACAGGTTCTGTGTGTCCTTTATGGCTGGTGCAATATCTCCCCTCTGTTGGCTCTGCTTAAACCTGAAAGATTCAGCTTTTATTGCTTGCAGATTTTATTTTTGCTTGCAGACTTTTATTTATTTTAGAGCCTAGAGAGAAGCCCAAGTGCTGGGAGCAACAGTCAGCTAATTCTGTATTCCAAGAAAAAATAATGTGCTTAGATTTCGTGAGGAAGGCCCAAGATAACCATGCCTATGAGAAGAGTCACTAGGAATTCAGCAGTCCCGGGACTTCAGCTCTCAAGGTACATTCGTGCACCATTAGCCTTGCCTTGATTTTCTACCCCCATCTGTAGGCTACGGCTGGTACTGGCACTAGTGCTCTGAATGAGCTGCAAGGCAGCCGAGCAAGCACACTCTCATACTAAATTTTTCTTTTATATAGGGCTCTCGTTGCTGTAGGGACTGAATTTCCATGGGGCACCATGGCCTGTGTCCAAAGGACTCTGAGCCCAGAGAAGCTGGGGGCACTTCTCCTGTTTTGACTTTCCCTGGCCGCTCTGGCCATGACTTGGACTCTTGATTAGAAAACCTGAGGGGCTTGGTCTTCCTGCTACACTGGGTATGGAAATGCTGCCAGCTTTTCTTGCAGCCTGCTTTTCCTAAACACCATGCTGCTTTTTTTGTTCAGGCTTTGTGTACACACTACATTGCCCCAAGATACTAAAAAGAAGGCTTTGGCATTGGCTGGGGACACGTCACTATGAATATCCCTTGGAACTAGCAAAATGATTGGAGCCCATCAATATTTGGGGCTGCTTCTTTTTTTGCTTGTGTATGACTAGATATTTAGAGCTAACCACTTGCAGTAGAGCATGAGCAGCCAAGGGAGAACCTAGAGGATGAAACAGCTGCCCCAGCATCTCTCAGGTGCAGAAAGAGCCCCCCTGCCCATGCTGTGGGTCACAACTCTGTGCTCTCCCACCCTGCAGCCTCCCTGCTGCCTTTTGAGGGTGGCCCTTTACGCAGTGCTGCTGGCAATAAACGGACTTTCTGGCCCCAAGGCCAAGTTCTGGCCTTGGTTCTCATCAACCCTGGGGGGTGCTCCAAGGGAAACCTGCCTGGGGAACAGGAGATGATCGAGCTGCTTCCTTGGGCTGCCAGGGGCTAGTGCTAGTGAAGAAGCAGGACAGGAATACACAGCTCAACTCACAGCAGCTCTTTCAGTCACTGAGGCTCAGCATTTTCGTCATTCAAACACCTTTCGTGCCCTGTACGCCTCACACCACTGCACTCACCAGTCCCATGTGTGTGCCTCAAAAAAACAAAACAAAACAAAACAAAAAACCCAAAGCCATCAGCTCTGTGTTCTCCCTCTTTCCCACCTCGTGATCTTTGGCCGCTGCGCTACAGCCCTTCTTCCCGCGGCACCGTGCCAGCACGAGGACTGGTGCTACGGTGCCTGGCCATGGTGTGACACAGCCCACAGCCAGGCGGGCGCAGAGCGCCGGCACTTACACACCTGGCCTGTTCAGCATTGCAGAAAACCGTCAGTTAAAGGAGCAAGAGCCATCAAGCAAATCAGCAGTTGACTTGGAAGATGATACTGTTTATCTCCCTCAGTGTATTATTAGATAATGTGTTATTAGAAACAAGTTAGCTCCTGCGGCAAACAGCCCACAGCTGTCCCTTCAGCTGGAGGACCTGTAAAGAAGGGGCAGCTGCTTTTCTGCTTGCCAAAGAGCTTATCCACCTAGGCAGCAAGGAAAAGGGGAAGGAAACGCAGATCCCTGAGCAAGAACCAGGCAATTGGGTAAGTCTCTCCTCTTAAGTCTCTCCTCTCCCTGTGGCAGAGAGGGCAACATCCCAAACCCCAGAGGAGTTTAGCTGTCCTTCTCCATGCTTAGTCTCTACTCCCTGATTTCTTTCCTGAGGGGCAGACACCAGCCCTGCACACAGCACTGCGGCTGGGGGCAAACCAAGCATCTCTCCTAAGAAAGATACTACTTTTATGGTAAAAGGGAATATCTAGAAAGGAGTGACAAGTGAAAAAAGATAGGACAAGAAGAGTTGAGAGACGGAGAGAAATCAGGAGTTGGTGGCCAGTGAAGCTCTCCAGAAGACAAGCGAGAAATGCTTGTGTCCAAGACATGGGAGGAGGAAAAAAAAAAAGACAGGCAAGTGCAAGCATCCCTGAGGGACAAGGCAAGCTTGCACTGTGTTCTGTGCCTCTGCTCTTAGATGGAGAATGGCAGCTACAAAGGCAGCACAACTAACATAGATGAGAACAAACTGGAGGAAGTGGTCAGGCTGGGCCTGGCAGATCTACCAGACAGATGCAGTTTGCAGCCAGAGCAGGGTAAGCACAGTCACAAACCCAAGCATTCGGGGCAAACTCAATGCTAGTGACTTGTGGGAGGACTTAAAAACTCAAATATTTGATAAAAATCAGTTTATACCAAATTCTTAAGGACAAGAGGCTCTTATTGTGCTCAAATTGAGTATTCCAGGTTGGATAACTTCCCTGTACCAGACCAACGTGGCATGTACCCACACAAAGCAAATTCTAAGGAGACATGTCATTTGGGGACTTCCATGAACTGCATTATAGAACTGTGTTCAGACCAACGCTTCCATATAAGGCATAGAAGTCCAATGGAAAACCCTGTCATCTTCAGAAAATGGAGGTAAAAGAGAGGTAAAAGACGTAGCTCAGTTTAGCTCCCGGACTACGTTGGGACAGAGTGGAGAAGGCCTTAGCATGCCAACTAGCAAACTGCTTTGTGTGTCCAAGAAATAATAGGCTCCAGCTTCGACCCAATTAACAAGGATATAAAAAACATGAGATGAATCTCCAGTGTTTGTGATATGAAATAAGTTAAAAAGAAACCTGTTATCATTGGAAGCGTTTAGAAAACAGTTTACTTTCCACTAGGGTAAATCCGAGCTGTGATTCTTTTATTGTTTTTCTGCAGTAATTATGATGTAGCTCAGGACAGTTGAATTTCCTAGTTGGGAACAGCTAGATTTCCTAGCTGTGCTCAGGACAGTGGACTTCCTCCAGCTAAGGGAGATAGCTGTTAGGTTAACAAGAGTAAATAAAAGCACCCGAAACCCTGAAACAGCTCAGCTGCGCTCCCTGATTACACAGTCATCAGCTCAGCCCAAATCACTCCTGTGAAGTGTGAAATTCCCTTCCTTCCAAGGCGTTATGATCCTTAAAGCCATTAACCCCTGAACATGCAACTACTTCACTCTTCAGAGGCTGCAAGAGCGAACCGATTTCTCCCTTCTTACCCCTCTCCCAGCCACAGACCTCTGCCTGACAGACCGCCCCCCCCAAAAGGAACCAGGATCACAAAGGTAAAACAGAGTTTTTCTGAGATGGTCCAAAAGGAATAGGCAAACACACAGACTCTGCCAACCACGACACTTTCTAGGCTCTCAAGAGCTAGACAGAACTGATCTGCTGCTTCATGTATTTTCATAGAACCCTCAGCAGAAGCTTTTAAGACCATGAGACAAAATGAAACAGGGAGCATGTCTATAGAGAAGGAATTCAGCAAGAAGTGCTGAAATTTATTCAAATTTTCATAGGTACAACAGAGACCTCTGACTTGGAGATTCTAATTCACAACAGCAGTAGAAAAGGAAATGGTGAAATGAGTTGTATTAAAGTGCAATGATATGTATAAGATCATTGAAATAACAGAAATGAGGCTGTAAAGAAATGAAAGGACAGCCTCATCCTACCAATGACAGCAATATATAAGTAAATTATGTTACAGATAATTTACAAAATAACTTACAAAGACAACAAACTGAATCTCTGCACATCGCCATTTCATTATTAAATATCAGACTAAACATTCCTGGCCAGTAAAGTATTATATGGGATAACTGAGAAAAGATCAGAGGATTTCTGTGTTGGAAAGATGCCTGAAATAAAACCCTGATCAGTCTTTATATTGCAGTATTGCAAGAAACTTAAGTATTTTTGAATTGTAAAGTGACACATTCAGCAGCATAAGACTATAAATACATCTTTTACATTGATACATTATATCTACACACATATACATATCTACACACACATATATATGCTTATATATGTGTACATACAAGTGTTTCAGTTTGTATTGACCACAGTCGGCTACATTTTGCTTGCATCTGGGACAGGGTTACTTTTACAAATCAGGAGCAAGATGATTCTCTAGAGGGTTTCTCCTTTTCCTTCTCTTTTTAAATTTTCTAAACTGCAGCCTCTAAAAATCTCAATTTCTGGAGAAATGGACCGCCATTAGAGGGTCTGATAATTAAGATATGTTCTTGTTGACATAGTTTGCCATTACTTACTGCTTTTGAAAAATGAAGCTCTTCCATATTATTTTAAATAATATGATATATGAGACGGGTTAAAACACTTTCAGGTAAGTAAAAATACTTGCTGGATGGCAAGGAGTGGACACAGTTTTCCATGCATGACAAGCACAAGTTTCTGTACTATTTGTAAGGATGAAGTGCAAAGAACACCTGACAACCTTAAAATTTACATCATTGGCTTAAACATAGCTTGAAAAAAATGGCAAGTTTAAGATTTTTCTTTAAAAAAGTTAAATTTGTCTATAGGGCAAATCTGATCTTCTTTAACATTTTTCTGCTCTTCTTTCCTTTAATAGAAAAATTATGTGATTTGCTTTTGTTTTTGACTAAGCATGCCACAAAACTATTGACTAAAGAGTGACATTTTTACCCCCCTGGAGGTCTGTATGAATGAAGGTTCTTGACTCATAGTGCAAATGCAATGGTTTTCTTGGCCTGCAACTACATGCTAAATGATAGAACAGAAAGTAACCATGCAATTGCAGATTATTATTATTAAATTTAGTAAATACATTTTTGTGTTTCATCGTGCACTTGCATTAAAAACGAAGAGAAACTACTAAATTGCCAAGGGTATGTAAACATAGTGATACTGGTAAGGAATTTGGTTGGGAAGTCAAAATGCCTCAGAAAACAGCTATCTCACTGCACACAGAAAAAGTCTGAAAAGACAAAACAGTGTTTTCTTTTGAGGCTGTTGTGGTCAGTGAATTGGTCATTTCTGCATCACAGCTTCTAGGAAGTATTTTACTGCAGAAAAAGTCTCCTGAAGACCCAAAAGAAATGGTTGAGCCAAGCTTCCTTCCTTGTTGCTGTAGGAGTCCCATTCAGTGCACTGACCCAGGAACATCCTTGGAAAAAGGGATTTTGGGAGGAGAAATTGTAAACTTGGGTTTATGTTCCCTATACCTATCCTGTACAGTGATTGCTAATTTATTCATTTACAATAAGGAATTAGCACTGAACACATTTTGTCACCTCACATTCAGATTCTGGCTGTAATGAAATTATACACTTCTGTAGAAACCTGATTGCATATCTATGAGTAAACGTGTTTGATGCTAGCAACTCTGGAGCTTCAGACTTCAGAGCAGAAGCCTCTTCAAGACCTAATTTCAAATCTTTAACTTTTATTTACAACTTCACATTCCATGTACTTTTCATTGGAATCTTCTGTGAGACCCTCTAAAAGACACCAATGAAAGTACACAGGGTCAGCAACACAAAGCAGTTGCTCTCCACTAGAGTGGAGCATTCAGGATTCTGCACAAGATGACAAATTCCACATTTCCACCTTCCCTGGAGGTGGGATGAAAAGTTAGTGTTAGCCCTTAATGTCCGAGAAGCTGGTGCTGCTGACATTGCAGCTATCACTGCAGCTCGACGATGTGCTCAGAGTGCTGGATGCAGTGCCTGATTCTGGGAAAGGAAAGGAGAAAGGAAAGAAAAAGAGAGATAGAAAAAAAATACAGTGTAATTATAAAAATATGTATCTAAGTATACATTCATCTCATGAATTATGAATAGCCTACCAGAGCTGCTTAATGATTGAGCTGATTTTGAATTGCCTATGAGCATCAGCAGGTTGTTTGCTGGGATCCAACCTTCTCTACCAGTGCTCAGATTCTTTACATACCTTAAAAAAAAAAAATAGTAGTCAGACTGCTTCATTTAAAGCCTTTGAAAGCTGGGCCCTCAACACCTGCCTTCCAAACAGTTCTGCAGATAAAAGTTTCCAAACACAAACTTGCATACCAAAGTCCATCCTCCCCTTCTCGAATCAGTTGAACTAGATCCCCACTTCTCACTTTAAATTCTTCAGAAACTCCTTTCTCATAATCAGTCACAACTGTGTATTTGCCAGGAGTCTAAATGCACACAGGGAAAAACAGAAATACATTATTTCTATTCAGTACCTGAACATACGTTATAGCCTTTGTTGTTATGAAAATTATAATACTTAGCACTTCTTGCTCCCTCATCCACACACATGCTCAAGACACTATGTACATACATACTATATACTGAGAACCAGAAAAGCCTTGCTATTCAGTTACACACAAGATTCAGTACATGAATTGTCACACTGTGAGGAATATTCTGTGAAGTCTTTCCATTACATTTCAAGGAAAAAACAAAACCTAAAGAACCATAACATCAGAATGCTGGTGAGGTAGAGAGACTTGCACACATGCATCTTGGTACAACTGAGGCAGTAACTGGACACATCATTGCTTGACTTCTGTACTGTGCCATAAGCAGCCAGTCTCACTAATGTGCAGGTGCACAAAGGCCCAGATGTCCCTTCCCAACTCAAAAATATCAGACTTAAGAAAAGAGATTATTTGTCCCACCACAGAAATTGTGCCCAACGAAGGATTTGGGCAAGAAACCTAAATCTAAGGCTTCTCAGATTTCAAAGCAAGAAGCACTTTCCTTCCTGCCATCTCCAAAAGCATTCCCATATACTTTAATGAAAACATAGAAAAAAAACTTTCTGGTTACCAGTTTCATATCACCTCCTCCTCCTTCCTCCTCTGCATCTGAGGAATTCAGCGGATCATCGGCACTAGACCAGCCATCATTTTCTTCAGATGCATCAACAGAATGGGATGTCTTGGCCCAACCTTGGTGAACAAACAGTCAACAGTCAACTTGGTTGCAGTGTGCTACTGACTTGGGGAAAAAGCTCTACTGAAAAGCCCTGCAAGGCTTAACAGAAATAGGAGGGAAACCTTGCATAGGAAGTTATTGCAACCTCTGTGTGAAATTCACAGCTGGCACAAGCTGACCCATTTCCATAGTGCATGGACTTGTGTCAGGAACAGCAGTGCGAATTTGGCGCTTTTTGTTTATGTAGAGAAGAACAGATGGAAAGAACACAAATTCCCAAATGAAAAATGCAGCTTTCCCTCCCCTCTGCCTGTACAAACACAGATAAATGATGGACAGATGCTCTTTTTCTTGGGAAGAGGTAGGGAAGAGGATGAACACACATGGCTATCACGCCAAGCAACCTAATAAGCCTGTTGGAACAAGGGACTGATGAATATTTTCTTATTCAAACTGCTGAACACTTATAGCTGTCAATAAATTCAACAGGAGCAACAGGCACCCTGTACTTAAACTGCGGAGCCAGATTATTTTTCAGGGGTATCCAAGGCTAACAACTTAGTCATGATGAATTCTCTAAGTGTTAAGTCACAGCACCACAAGAACAATCTCCTGCCTGCCAAGTGCCAAATACTTCATCCTGAGAGAGAAAAAGTATTTCACTTATGAGGCTGAATCATATCCAGAGTGTACAAAATCATTCTCCAAATAAAACTGCAGTAATTTTTACTAGGGGGATGCTTTTCATCAAGGTCAGCAGCTACTAATAAACATATCAAGCTCATAATGAAAGAAGTCATCACGGAAAAGATAAATATTTTAAAGTTAAGTTACTATTTGTGCTGAGCCAAAATGTAACTGTAATAAAGCCAATGAAAAGAATGAGAGGAAGAATCAATCCCCAAGCTTATACACAGCTATTAGTTAGGCCAAGAAAGCAAGCAGCAGTTCTGCTTTTCACTGCTTCTGAGACAGTTCATGACCACAGCTGGTCATATTAGGGCATAAAACAAATACTGCAGTATTATTATACAAAGCTAAAGCAATCTAAGGCATCATGCTCAGAGCACACCAAACTGAGTGGGGTTTTACCTTGCCTGCGCTGCTGGATGACCTGTACAAGATTAGAAGTACTGACCCATTTGGCCCTGTCCAGGGTTAGGCATGAATTTCCATCTGTGAAGAAACTGAGTAATAAATTCCTGCT